TTGTTCAGTGTCCAACACATACTAGTACAACTAATGATTGTTGAATAAAGAAAGAACGGAAGGGAAGGGAAAGGAGGAAGAGGGGAGAAAAGAAACAAACCACCTACTTTATAGTCTCTGGCATTTTCATTCCATTAAGTTCAACACAGACTAGTTGGAATCTTCTGTTTTAAACTCTTAAAAGACTAGGTACCATACATATTCCTGATTTTAAGCACTCTTTCCACTTCCCACCTCCAATTCTTAACACAGCCTCTCCTATATCTTGTTAGGCCCTGCTGCTTATACACTTCTAGTCTTTGGATAGCCTTCCAGATTTTCTATTTCATGCCAGAATATGTCCTTTTCCTTAGGCTTCTTGGGCAGTTATGTACCCTAGTACCCTGACTCTCCATGTGAGTTATGCCTATTTCAAAAAATACTGTATGCTTGGAATTTATCTCTATCTTATTGGTTTCATAGAAAATCAGGATTCTGCAAAGAATTTTAAAGTTAACCAATTTGAGTCATTTAACTATACTTAAAAAGGAACTTCTTTACAAGAAGGAATGCCTTTAGTTATATTCCTAATTCTTAGTGTGTATAGTTGTGTCAGCTTTAAGTAGAACCAGATCACCGAAGTCATAGTGGGTTAATCTTCATGAGGTTGATAAGATCAACCTTTAGCAAATCTAGGCTAGAGCTTTAAGAAATTCTGTCTTCTACAACCAACATAATCTCAAGGTTACAAGTCAGCAATTGTTATAAGCATTTAAAGCAGACATTAAAACATTAGAGAAAAGCTCTTTATCCTTCTTAATAAATAGATAATCACATGAACTCAATATAGATGTATATTAGATGTGTATGGTAACTAGTAAGTATATAATTGCCAATATTCTTTCAAGGTATTCCACATAATCCAAAGAAAGCCAGATGGCTGGTCTAGTGTTTGCTTTTTTTTTTTTTTTTTTTTTTTTAAAGACACAGTAGGCCGGGCGCGGTGGCTCACGCCTGTAATCCCAGCACTTTGGGAGGCCGAGGCGGGTGGATCACGAGGTCAAGAGATCGAGACCATCCTGGTCAACATGGTGAAACCCCGTCTCTACTAAAAAAACTACAAAAAATTAGCTGGGCATGGTGGCGCATGCCTGTAATCCCAGAACAGGAGGCTGAGGCAGGAGAATTGCCTGAACCCGGGAGGCGGAGGTTGCGGTGAGCCGAGATCGCGCCATTGCACTCCAGCCTGGGTAACGTGAGTGAAACTCCGACTCAAAAGACACAGTCTAGCTCTGTTGCATAGCCTGGAGTGCAGTGGCATGATCTCAGCTCACTGCAGCTTCTGCCTCCTGGGCTCAAGCAATTCTGCCTCAGCCTCCTAAGTACATGGGATTACAGGCATATGCCACTGTGCCTAGCTAATTTTTGTAATTTTAGTAGAGACAGAGTTTTACCATGTTGGCCAGGCTGGTCTCCAACTCCTGGCCTCAAGTGATCCGCCCACCTCAGCCTCCCAAAGTGCTGGGATTACAGGTGTGAGCCACCGCACCCGACCTAGTGTTTGCATTTTCAAAAGCACTATAAAAGTTTAAGGCATCTGGTATCAATTTTTTTAATTGAAAAAATCCATAAGTATATAACACACATATGTATAAAGAAAAAACATCCTGTATTTTACCACCGAGTTTAGGAAATAGCCAATTTCATTTTAATCAAAACTGAATTAAAGATATTTGAGATTTATAGCTTTTAAGCTGAATTAAAGATATTTGAGATTTAGAGTTTTTAATTTGATACCACATTTTCCAAACTTTTCTGTATCTCTTTTTAACTGGGTATTAATCCATTCTTTCCCTGCTTATATGTGATTTACAGTTTATTCAGTGTTTTCAGATGCATTATTTCACTTAATGTCCACAGAAACTCCATGAAGTCAGAGTTATAGTCCCCATTTTGCAAATGAAGAGGCCTGAAGCTCAGAACACTTGAATTAATCATGCAGCTATTAAATCTCAGAGCCAGGACTGGAACCTAGGTTTTCTCATTAACTTTTTTACTATGAGAAAAGTTGCAGGGAAGAAAACAATATCATAAATCTCCTGGTAAATTACTAAGGATTCATAATTATATAATGCTTTACGTTTCCAAAATGGTGGTTATAAGGGATATTTTTGTTTAATCACTTCTAGAGACAAAAATATTGAGCTTTTTTAATGTTTAAAAAATAGATCATTTTAATAATCTCCTAGACATAATTTCAGGCACCATGAACCTGTGAGAGAGACACTTTTAATTAAAAGGGCACGTGGTCCTTTCCAGAGTTGCCTAAAGCATATCACAAGCAAGCTGTCAGATAGGTCCAGTGTAGGCACTGTAGGGATTGCAGTAATCCAGTTCCTAGAATGGCTGCATTCTTGAAAATGCTCATGGTAAGTAAATCAGTGGTTGGGGAATTTAAGACCTTATTGGGGAAAACAGGAAGGCTTGAATTGGTGTGGGTGTGAGGAGGTCAACCTGGTTAGGAGTTGGGCTTGGGTTTTGTTGTTACTTTCATTACCTTCACTGTACTACAGGCCTCAAGTCCTTCTAGGAGAGGGCTGCCAAGACTTTTTGCTGAGGGTGGAGATGGGTATCAGTGGGTGTTTCTCAGCATCTGTGTTTCCCTCTCAGCTTTCAGCCTTCTCTGCCAATGTACGCCACAAATGGCATCTCTCTCCAAGCTCTTGCCCCCTCCCCTGGTGGCAGCCCAGTATCTCGTTTCTCAGTGCTGGGCTGGTTGGCAGGGCAGGAGGTTCCCTGTTGTTCTGGCCTTAGGCCTAGGCTGGACCTGTGCACCTGGGCTTTGGACACGGGGCTTTCTCAGTGTTCCTGCCCTCTGTCCATGTGGTAGCCAAACTCTGCCTTCTCTCTGTGGTCAGTCTTGGGCCAGTGTCTCCTGTCTCTGCTCTGAGGGTAGGAAGCCTCTCTCTGGCCTTCCACCTGCCTCCATCTTTTATTTGAGGCCTGTGGAAAATGTTTGCTAATGAGTATGAACTTTCCTTGGTTCTGGAGTCCCAGGCAATCCCAGACTGACATCTAGTGCACCTTTGGCCTTTGCCAGTATATTAAGATCGAGCTGGTAGAACTTCGCAGAACATACACAAGTTTCAATAGCTGAATTAAAAAAAAAAGATTATAGCTGGTACATTCTTAACAGCTGGTGTGATGGTAGCATATTCTTTCTGGGCCCTGCTATAGCTGAGACTGTTCTTATATCTCTTTTCTCCTTGGAGGGGTTGGTTCCTCTTTTGAAATCAGATTACTTGGTTACCTTTTGACTTCAGCTCTCTGCTGGACTCAAGAAAAGTTATGATTTTGTGGCTTATCTATTTGGCTTTTTCCTGTTGTTATGATGGAAACAATGTTTTTTGTAGCTTTCTATATTCTAAGCATAAGAGTAACTCTCCCAAGGACAGGCTTAAATAAGACTTTTCCCCCTCCTCTGAACTCCCAAGATCTTTATTAGTACCAATTAGGTACTTGTACTTTTTAACCTATATTTGTTTATCTTATTTTCCCTATTAAATGTAAGCTATGTGAGGTCTCATCGTAATAGTCTTTCTATCCTCAACAGTGCCTAAAACAGTCTTACATGTAGCACAGGCACTCAGTCAAATGTGTTGGTGGGTAAAAGGGCTTTCCTGAAAAGTGGATAGGAAAGTCCTGAAGAGGTGAATGATTAGCAAAATAAGGTTATTGTTTTAAGCAGAGGGAGGTAACGACAGATGTGGCTTTCTCTTTTTGAATCTTTCTCTGCATGTGAACATTTGGTATAATGTCCATGTCCAGAAATAGAAATCTTAATTGAATCTGTAAAACATCAGCCAATGTCAAAGGAGACACTACAGGGCACTGCTTTTAGGAATGCAGCTGAACCTACTGAAAACATGTCTCCAGACAAAGTTTTTACTTGAGCCTAATATATTCTTGTGAAGCAAATTCTGCTTTTCCTGTAAATTTCATTATATTAGAGAAATGCTTCCCAAAGGAAAATTCTTAGCAAGCAGATGTGAAAACTTTTGATGAGTAACGACTAAGGTAGTTAGGTATGTGGGTGATGCACATAAAATATTACAGCAGTTTTCCAGCTCTAGGATTCTGTGTATGTCATGAGCTGCTGTGTCCTTCCAACCCATGAGAATTTTCCTCATGCCTGAGGATTCACTTAAGTTCGCACTTTCAGATCTAGAGATATCCTCCGTTTCCTCTTGGCTGGGTCAGTTGTCTGTCTTTGGCTACATGATCACACATCACTGGCAGGTGCTACCATTTTTAGATTAGAATATGTGACCTTCCTAATGCAAAAAAAATCCTATAGTCCTCTAGCTTATCAATTCATTAAGTTAAACTTTATATACCAATTTGCTTAAATGGAGGATTCCCCTTATTAATCTGCAGCATCTATATCATTCCTAAGTTACTAAACCAACAAAGATGAAAGTTGATCTCCCTCCCACCCAGCTTCTTCCCCCAGTTTTGTGAAGAAGTTCGATCAGAAGCTTTTTCCATGGAGGTTTTCAGCTTCCTTATTTCTAGGCAAAAAGTTATTATCTTTCTCCTGATGCTGACCACCTTATGATGATATCTGATTATTAGTTTTGCCACTGCCCTGTTTAGTCACTTGTTTCTAAGAAAATGAACTGAGGGTCTTGGAGTAGATAAGGACAGGAGTGTTTTGTTACCCACACTAAATTACAGATGTTGGAAAACAAAGCCGAAAACTCTTTTGTATTTGTGTCTATACTGATGTCTGAATGCTCAACCCATTATTGCTTTTTTTTCAGGCAGTGTGGGGGATAGAGATGGGGTCTTACTGTTGTCCAGACTGGTCTTGAACTCCTGGGCTCAAGCGATCTCCCACCTCAGCCTTCCAAAGTGGTGGGATGACAGGCATGAGCCACCACACCCCTATTATTGCCTTCTGTAAAAATATTTTTTTGTGGGCATAGATGCTAATTAACCCATCTGGTTGTGTGTTTTAGTACAGAAGTGGTCAGAAGGATCAACACGACCGAAGAAAGTAGAATGTTTAAAAGAACCGGAAAAAACATCTGTAGAATCTAAAGTACCTACACGGATGGAAAAATCTACAGACACAGAGGAGGACAATGTAACCGGAACAGGATATAATGACAAAACCACCCAGTTTCCATCATCAACTTCTGCTGAGCTAGGTGCTGAGCAAACTGAAGCAGCTCATGATTCTTCTCCCAAAGCAGCTACCCCTAAGACTACCAGCCCACCCACCTCACCGCCTCCAACAGCTGTCTCACCAGAGTTTGCCTATGTCCCAGCTGACCCAGCTCAGTTTGCTGCTCAGATGTTAGGTAAAGTTTCATCTATTCATTCTGATCAATCTGATGTTTTAATGGTGGATGTGGCAACCAGTATGCCTGTTGTTATCAAGGAGGTGCCGAGCTCAGAGGCTGCTGAAGATGTCATGGTGGCTGCTCCTCTTGTGTATTCTGGAAAGGTACTAGAAGTGCAGGTTGTGAGCCAAACATCTGTCCATGTAGATTTGGGTTCTCAACCTAAAGAAAATGAGGCTGAACTATCAACGGCTTCCTCAGTCCCCTTGCAGGATGAACAAGAACCTCCTGCTTATGATCAAGCTCCTGAGGTCCCTTTGCAGGCTGATATTGAGGTTATGTCAACTGTTCATATATCATCTATCTATAATGATGTGCCTGTGACTGAAGGAGTTGTTTATGTTGAGCAACTGCCAGAACAAATAGTTATCCCTTTCACTGATCAAGTTGCTTGTCTTAAAGAAAATGAGCAGTCACCACCAGTTAGTCCCAAACCTGTAGTAGAAAAGACAACCTCTGGCATGTCTAAAAAATCTGTAGAATCTGTAAAACTTGCACAGTTGGAGGAGAATGAAAAATATCCCTCAGTATATATGGAGGCAGAAGCAACAGCTCTGCTCTCAGACACATCTTTGAAAGGTCAGCCTGAGGTACCTGCAGAACCCCTGGAAGCAGAGGGCACTATCAAAATAGGCTCTGAAAAATCTCTGCACTTTGAAGTGGCGATCACTTCAATAGTCTCTGACAATACTGGGCAGGAGGAGTCCGGGGAAAACTCTGCACCCCAGGAGATGGAAGGCAAACCTGTGCTCTCTGGGGAAGCTGCAGAAGCAGTGCACTCAGGTACATCTGTAAAATCATCTAGTGGCCCCTTCCCTTCTGCTCCAGAAGGTCTTACTGCACCAGAAATCGAACCAGAAGGGGAACCAACAGCTGAATAAGGTTTGATGAAGCCAGGTAAGAAAATCAGATATTTACATTACAAATTGCATTTCAGGTAGCCATCTATGTAGGCTCCCTGCAGATTGGTCAGTCTTTATTTTCGGATTTTTTTTTTAAATGTCAAAGCTATGTAAAGGCTTTGTTGTATCTGAAATTCTAGTACTATGAGACGAGTGATTTTAAAGTGATGTTCCCAAAGCCTGGCCTCAAAGTTTGGTCATCTAGCACTTTTATGTTATTCTTTTGGGTATATTATGTTGTCAACATCATAACCTCTTGTCAGGTACAAAATATATTCATGTGATCTAAATATGCTGATTGCAAAAAAACTGTAATTAGGGGGTGCTGGTTTGAAATTTTCCTCTTGTGAATGTAAAGCTATAGCAGTGCATTTACATAGGCTGTGGCATTTTAAAAAGTGAAAAAATGGCGGCGTGTTTGCTTTCACACTGAATCAGGAGACCTCTGTAACCAGGTTTGGGGTGCTGGACCATGGGTTTGTTTTCTGCCTGGGGGCTTCCTGCAGCTGAGAGAGCAGCTTCATAGCTAGATGGAGAGGGGAAAGGTCAGGGGAGCAGGGAGGTATTAGAAGCACAAAGGATACCCCGGCACTTGAACAGCAATAGATGCATTTTACTTAATTGGCTTCCTTTGATCAGTTCCCTCTCCCTGGCAAGTGCCAAAAATCAAGCTGTTTTCTTGGCCACTGAACTATCACCGTGTTTTCCAGTGATATAGACATGATGTGACCTTCATCTCTAATTATGGCATTTGGTCTGCTCACCCTCCTGCCTTATGGATAATTGCAGGGGCCCTTCTCTTTTTAGGGATAGAGGGACATGCATGAGCCAATGTTTTCTTTTTGCAAAAACTCTTAACCAAGCCAGAAGGATTCAAAAAGTGTTGGCAAAGCAGGTGTTTAGAAAAGATCACATTTTGTCTGGCAGTGTGACAGGGATTCTGCACAGCTGAAAAGGCAGAGGACAGTGCTGGGAGTGGAGTGTGTGGAACTGGTGCTATATTTGTGGCTTAAGCAGTACTTCCAGACCAAGTCACTGTTTTCAAATGCTTAACTGTTTCTAAAGTATAATAGAGTTGTCCACAATACTAAAGGGATAGTAACCAAAAAATTCAGATTATCAAAACCTCCCTCCTTGTGAAACAACTGAAGATCTGGCTTTTACACTTGCATAATGGATAGATGGCACTCCTAGACCTCTTTCTCTCAACCCAAAGAACCCCTGTGGGACCAACCAGCCTTTCACTGCCACCTAGCACCTATGATTTCAAGTCTTGCCTAAAAGTGGTGCTCTCTGGGGTTCTGAGTCCTAGATTATGTGATTTTGTATGTGTGGTAACAAATTAATGGGAGATAATGGTGGCTGTGATAGGGCCAGAGATATTTTGATTATGTGGTGAAGATGATACCTAGTGCTAACTTCTTTAGGAAAGAAAACACTATGCAGATGCATTAACACTTCCTTTAATAGCTTAACACACTCTACACTCAGTTGACTTTTGGGTAAAGCTAAAGGTTGTGTTGACGGTCCAGTTTCCTTTACAAGGATCCTATAGAAGCCATGTCTAAAGTTGAAGTAGCTAGAAACAGCAACTTAGAATGGGTTCGCTTCTTCAGCCACAACTGTAGCGTCCCTCCCACTTGCCACCACAACAACTGTTCTCGTTTTCCCTACTGTAGAGAATCTCTTTCACATTGCCAAACAAAATTATGCAGCCCTCTCTATAGCATGCTTTGTGGTACATATCACTACAGCTGTTTTAATATGTAAAAGAGACTTACAAAGACATTACTATGCATAGTGCCTGATAGACCAAAACTTTAATTTCTGCAAAATTTTTTTTGTAGCAATGGCAGCAAGCGAACCAGAACAGCCACCACCATATTCCAACATGTGGACCCTTTATTGTCTAACTGATAAGAATCAACAAAGTCACTCATCACCGCCACCTGCACCTGGGCCTTTCCCCCAAGCAACCCTCTACATATCTAATCCTAAGGATCCGCAGTTTCTGCAGCATCCACCAACAGTCACTTCTCCAATTTATGTGATGGACGACACAAAGAAGATCAGTGCCCCACCTTTTATCTTAGTAGGCTCAAATGTTCAGAAAGCACAGGAATGGGAACCTCTTCCTGGGCATGCTGTTGTTTCGTCAGATGTCTTGAAGAAATATGCTGCAGTGCAAGGGCCCATTGCTGTTCCTGCAGATGGGAAATTCCAGAAACATACTCTAA